GGTTCACTTTCTAAAAAGGCCATTTATTTCTGTCTAGAATGATGTACAAATGAGCGTTCTTGCTCATTTTGCCTCCGAGATATGAGCAAAAACGATACGACTTTTTTGGGAACAATGCCAACATTTCCTGATCGATGGTTAGTATCAATATTCAATCAATCAAATCTAAAACTTGAAGTCTTGAAATCAATACTTTTTTGAGAAAATTGCCAACATTTTTTTATCGATGGTTCACTTTCTAAAAGGGCCATTTATTTCTCTCTGGAATGATGTTGAAATGAGCGTTTTTGTTCATTTTGCTTTCGAGAAATGGGCAAAAACGGGACGGAAAACATGGAATTTTGGCATAATTTTGCACCTAAATGTCTGATATTTAAATTTCGCTTTCTGGGTCAAAACTACTTGAATTTCCTTTTTATTAGGTTATACAGGGATATAACTATACAGGGTATATAATAAAATATAAATATTTTTAAAATGTGCGCGTATTTTTTAAACGTAAAGGTACTATTTACAATATGGCGAAGAGAATTTTGAAGCAAATAATACCGGGTAAGCGTAAACTTACTTTTCTCTATCGTTGGGACACCCTGTGCAGAGGAAAAATTAAAAGAGACGGACTTATGGAAAAGAGCAAAGGGAAGGTGACGAATGGAAAGTGTTGCCAACAACAGATTGCACAATGGACGATATAAAATGTACAAGAACTAATGGGGTTTGCACACTTGTAAAAAATTCCAAACTAGATCTTGAACTGGAATCTTCACAGAAAAGAATGCGAAGTATGTCAAACAAAGGGAAATCCCGGAAGAGACAAAAATGATCTTTACAGGCAAACTAGAGGAAGATTTCGCCAGTTCTACAGAAAAGATCAATTTCATATGAGCCTTCAAACAATTCCATGGATCCGGCAACGAAAAACGCACAAAACCTGTTTTTACCTGTCCAATTCTTGGAAAAATTCTTCTTTGGGTTAGTAGAATGGGCTTTGATACAATACGTGCATTTGCTACAGTCTTGGCTTTAAATAGATGGACGAGATGTTTTCAATGTACTGAAGCTGAAAAATGAGCTTTTGATAATGGGACACAATTTCAATACAAAAGGTAAGACCTCGGTGTAATATTCATATTATGGTATGTAATGTTACTCTTGATATAAGATTGTAACAGTACCCAATTATTATGCTGCGGAATTTTAACCGTGGGAAGTTTGTTTTGCATCACATTCTAGTGGGGCAATGTATTGCTATTAACAAATGTGGTGTAAACAAAAAACCTCACAGTTCATTGAAATTACATGCTGCTATCTGGAGAATTACATAGTGCCGTATCTAGCTGGATATCATTGATCCAAGCCGCACTGTATGAAATGTAGTTAAAGTAATTACACTTGGACATTTGTCTGGCAATATAAAATCCAATAAAGATCCAAACTTAATTTATTATTCATCTGAAAATCTATTCGTGTTAGTTTACGATTTGAATGAATCAGGGACGTATCAGGATTTCCAATCCAGACAAATTAGACTGCAATAATGCAACTGTTCATTCTATTGCATCTGTTGACAAAGACTCGACTCTGCATTGTACTGTTTATTAACAAGTATCGATTGTCAAGGCTAGACTAGTTATTTTTTCCAAAGTGATAACGTCAGTAGCGATAACAGTGATGAAAATGTGGGAATTATCAGATTATCCATACATTTGTAAATGCCAAGAAAATTAAATGGGAAGCTATTTTCAATATCGGCATTAACCTGCCATAAGTAAATAGAAACTATGTTTACAAATGGTAAAAAATTACTAACAATTCAAAATAGATTAGGCTACATTAGCTGGTTGGTGTTGTGTAGATAAAATGCTGCAAACAAGGTCGGCTTCGAATAACATATTAATGATAATCGATTATCGAAGAATATACAGGGCGGGTTTTTTTCGATGGCTAGTACAGGAATCCTGGAAACTACAGCAGATGCAACGAAGGTTAAATGGATAAATAATTGGAGGTTTCGAGTAGAGCGGTCTTTCCGATTTTTCATATTTTCAACTGCAAGATAGATATTAAGGGTGGGAAGTTTTCAAATTATCTTAAGATTTGGGTGAATTATTGAAAAAAATTAAAATAAAATGTTAACTTTACCCCGCTGTATCTCAAAATCGAAGCCGTTTTCAATCAATGTTTAAAGGATATTTTCATCTGAAAATTAGATTTTCTATCGATAGTTAGTTAAATCCTGCGACTCAACCTGTATATTCATTCTGGACTGAGGAAGGTTTATAAGGGTACATTATCGATAATTTCCCTTTCATTAACTATTGATCCTACAAATCCTTAATCAATAGGACGTTTCGACTAATTTTTCCTACTTTGATGTCCTAATCAAGCGAGGAATACAAAACGAATTAACCGATATAAAAAAAACTTTCTAACAACATTTAAATGTACCATGTCTGAATAAAAATGAATCATCTAATTAAAATAATTATTCTTTACCTACGATTGAACCGTTCTTATAAGGCGCGCTTACTAGGAGACTAAATTTATGAAGTGAAAATAAACGCCATTGACCAGAGGAAAGTTAAAACTAATTGGAAACGGTTTTTCAGTTGCATATTGGAAAATCATATAGTTTTAACAGCTTTTGCCGTACAAAGAGGGTTTTTAAATTTAAGTTAGGCTTTCACGGTTACTGCTTGAAACTGGTGAATTTTTCGGGATTTTAGGCCGTCGTGGAAACAATATTTTCCTGACGTTTCGCTAGCTCAAGTGGATTGCATCTTCAGAAATGGCTGTTCGACAATCAGATTCTTTTTTTACACAGGGTTGGCTTTAGATTAACGAATTTACTTTTGGAGATTTGGAATCTCGCCCATGTCCTAAACCCCCAATGTTTTTTTGTTTAGAGTTGCTAGACTAATGAAAAAATATGTGTGTAATCGGGAAAATGAAAGCACAAAAATAAGTTGAAAAGTTCACATAAAGGTATGTCGTCTAAATACTTCGTTTCAGAAACGGGGTGTTGAAATTATAACTTCAATTTTAACTTTTGCAGCTTTCCAGGCAATCACCTAATTATAATTCGTCTTTTTTGCTAATTCCTTATTCGACTTTGAAACTGTAGACTTCCAAGTTATCTGCAAAAGAATTACTTAATTCTCTTGCAAATTTAACTGACTTTTGCATATTTCTATGGGAAAATGATGTATGTTTTTCAGATTATAGTAATTGTTTTGATTAAAAATTATACACACTCAACATAAACAACTTTGATGATCTTCAGAAGCACCCCGAAAAAGTATCGAAAATCCGAAAATGATGAAACAAGCGAAGTGAAGACATTAATGTTAATGATAATTTATAGCGAAAATAGTTGTAGCCAAAATGGGATTTGTTTTCTTAATTAATGTACGATAGACATGTGCTAAATAAAATATACCGATGTGCGTTGGTAATAAACCGCTAAAATCGCTATAAATAACCTTCCATTACCATATATTCCCATCCTGTTATAGCTGAAGATAAAGAATTGTGCTGATTATCCAACAGCCTTATAAACTGTTTTCCTCTTATTCGTTTCCTTAAATTAATAGACGAAAGAACGCGTTCAACATGCTTTGGGTTTTATAACAATAATGTCACAATGCCTTTTAACTTTCACAACATCATTGTCTAAAATATACGGTAAATTCTCACGTGATAAAATAATTCAGGCACAACAGATATATTATCCATTTCCATTTTGCATACTAATTGTACAAGGTGGTTCCAGAAAATTTATGTTGTTTATATTAATAATTAATTGGAATAAAATTCTTTTTTTTGGAGTAAAAGACTGGTTGATACTTGTTTCACACATCGTATGTATAGGCTTACATATTTAGTGATTGGAAAACCGCTTGGAAAGTTTTATTCCTTTGTTTGCTTAAGCAACGCACAAAAAGGCTTCGATTTTCTTTTAAGTGATTAGAGTGATGTGACGTGGAAGTAACAGCACAAAGGCATGTCTATCCTTTAAAAATCGAGAATTATACGACATGAATGAAGTAAAATTCCGCATTTGTAATTTATTATTCAAAGTTGGTCGCATCCTGAATAGACGTTTTTATTTCCAGGTACGCATACTCATTTCTTACTTAGCGATTTGTTTGATTTATCTGACATGAAATTTTAAAAAGGAATTTCCCTTCAGACCATATTTCAATTAAATTTTAATTAATTTAATTGACTACGACCTTCGATGACTTTCGAAGTTGTTTGAGTCTTGAATTTTCGTAATTAAATTTTGAAATTTTCAGTTCGTTTTTAATTAAAATAGTGAAGTGTTGCGCGTTATTTCAACAGCCAGATACTTTCCTTATATCTCACTTGAACATTGTTTACATGATTCATTAACTAGGTAAACGAGATATTCCAATATGATTCATTCCATTCATTGCAGTATTCAAATATCTCATTTAATATTAAGTTTCTAGCTGAGTAAATATTAGTTAGCCAAGTACATGTGTTTGGTGTAATTATTGTGTTACAGCATTATACAGAATACTATGCTTTGCTAGAAAAAAATCCAAAACATTCTAATGTGGATAATTCGAATTGGTTCAAATAAGGAAATCATTTGAACGGAATCCGAGCAAAAATATGTGACAAATCAAAAAACAAATACCAATTCCTGATAATTGCCGCATTTAGCTAGTGGCTTTGTGGTTTCTAAACTGGTGTTCAATTTTTTTTTAATTAATGCCTTCTAAGCATTGCTGGTCGATTAATGGCTCTCAAAAGATCAGTTAATAAATAATATTTCATAATCACTTACCGCATGATTTATCCTATCAGTTTCATCATGGTTGCTGAGCTGCAGGTCTTGTTAAAGGTGATCCTATAACAAGAAATCACATGAAGATAAATCCGGTTATTCCGCAAGTTAATTATTGCTATTTTTAGTAGGTAAGGAAATGTAGGCATGTCTAGAACTTTTTAAATTTCAATAAAATATTGTAACATAATTAACAAAGTAGATGTAGGTATTTAAGTCTCCATAGTCTAACGGGTCAGTATAGTCTTTGAGTTATTCTTCTCATTCTCTCTAATGAAGAATAAACAATATATGGTGGGTTAAAAATCGACTCCACCTACTCAAAAACCGCTTAAAATGGTCTAAAAAGTCGATTATTTCGGATTTGAGGCATGTAGCGTGGTTTGCAATGCTCTTGTTGCATTCGTTGCATTATTTTGATGAAAAGATTCGAAGAAATTTGCAAGACTTGACATTTTCGAAAAAAATCGACATTTCTCTTACGAAAATTTTGGACAAAAATTACAGTTTCACGTGCGGGTTTTTTTAAGCTTAATGGATTATTTCCGATCTGAGCAGCTCCTCGCTATGCATATATAGAGTACTTGTCTCAAGGATAATGAAGATATCGTCGGTTAAAGATAGGACTTGCTTAAAAATCGCCTAAAATAGACCGAAGCCGCAATTTATACCTTCAAAGACGGTTTCTTCAAAAACACATTGCTCTGAATCCTGTTGAGTTGTAAACGTACTTTATACTGTTCAATGAGAATTAGAGTTCTTTTATTGGACGTTTTCAAAACATACTCAGCCGCAATTTTTCCGACATTTTTCCTTAAATTTAATGGCGATTTATTCCTTCAAAGGCGATTTTTTCAAAAATTAATTTTCTGCAATTCAATTTATTCTAAATACCGTTGAGTTAAAAAACGTCCTTTATATTGTTCAATGGAGAATTAGAGTCCTTTTATTGGACGTTTTCAAAACATACTCAACCGCAATTTTTCCGACATTTTTCATTAAGTTTAATGGCGATTTATTCCTTTGAAGATGGTTTTTTCAAAAATTCATAGCTCTAAATTCCGTTGAGTTAGAAAAACGTCCTTTATACTGTTCAATGGAGAACGGGAGTCCTTTTATTGGACGTTTTCAAAATATACACAGCCGCAATTTTGCGACATTTTTCCTTAAGTTTAATGGCGATTTATTCGTTCAAACACGCTTTTTTTCAAAAATGTATACTAACTACTAAAAATATACTCAGTCGCAATTTTTCCAAAATTTTTCATTAAGTTTAATTGCGATTTATTCCTTCGAAGATGGTTTTTTCAAAAATTCATAGCTCTAAATCCCGTTGAGTTTGAAAAACGCCCTTTATACTTTTCAATGGAGAATTAGAGTCTTTTTATTGGACGTTTTCAAAACATACTCAGCTGCAATTTTTCCGATATTTTTCCTTAAGTTTAATGGCGATTTATTCCTTCGAAGATGGTTTTTTAAAAAATGCATAGCTCTAAATCCCGTTTAGTTAGAAAAACGTCCTTTATACTGTTCAATGGAGAATTAGAGTCCTTTTGTTGGACGTTTTCAAAACATACGCAGCCGCAATTTTTTCGAAATTTTTCCTTCAGTTTAATGGCGATTTATTCCCTCAAAGACGGTTTTTTCAAAAATTCATAACTCTAAATCCCGTTTAGTTAGGAAAACGTCCTTTCTACTGTTCAATGGAGAAATGGAGTCCTTTTATTGGATGGTTTCAAAACATACTCAGCCGCAATTTTTCCGACATTTTTTCTCAACTTTATAGTCTAGCGTGATCTACAATGCGCTTGTTCCTTTCCTTGCCGAAGAAATTTGAGAGAACTTATATTTTTCTAACGGATGTTGAACAAAATTTTTCTTCCAATATTCTACTAGTTTTTAAAACTCTTTTGTTACTGTTGAAATGTCACTTTCAGTTTATAAGATGTTCTGAATTTTTTTGTTGTTTGATATGCATATTTTATCCCGATTTCATTAATGTACAAGGTTTTGCTTCCATTTGCCAACGTTTTAGTGAAAAAATTCATCACCAAGGTTTATTATCTAAAAAATGCAAGTCCGACTCTGGATTTGAGTTACATATTGCATGTTTTGGTTTCCTATTCTTTTAGGTTTGAGATTTGAAAATATCCGTTAATTTTATTTTGTTCTGCATTAAAGTCTTTTAATTTATTAGAAATGAGGTACCCATTTGATCCTTAAAAATAGTTCATGTTGACTAATTAAATACCAACTTTATTGTTTAAGAAAAATCCACTCCGAAAAATCCATGGGCTTGAAATAAGGCGATCGAAGTGGCCAGTTTACAGGATCATGGTTTCCAGGTATTTAGGGTTTTTTGTTGGAAATTCTTCAAATTTTGTATTTTTTGGACAGTAAAACTTAGTAATGAAATCAGGAAAAACATGCACTTGAATGATCCGAAAAAAATAAAATTACTGTCGATATCTCATAAACTAAAAGTGCCATTTTATTAAATTTAATATCAATGCGTGCGTAGAGCTTTAAAAACTAATCAAATGTTGTAGATATTTTTGTTTGCAACCCTTGGTCTCGATTTATTTCCCAAAAACTTTTTCGGTATTATTTGGCTTTTCTCTCAGTATTTGCGACCTTAATTTGACAGAGGGATTAGATTTATCGCATTTTTGATGCTGATACCTTTGCCTTTGTATGTGTGATCTGAAATGTTTAGTTCTTATAATTTCTGTCTGAATAGTTTGATGATTGTTACTCGCAAGATTTTCTGTTGTTTTTAGGTTTAGTCGTGTGATCATCTGCCCTGAGGAAGGAAAAATGCTCGACTATTTTACAATTAAACAGTAAAAGTTCATTTTTAGTTTCAATTGGAAAAAACATGTCATTGTGTTGTCTGTGAGTGCCTGAAGCTTTTCTATCGCATCTGCGGTTTTTATCGTGCGTTCTAAGTACAGGGTCGTCCGCATATTGAAATTGAAGGTATTTGGAAAGGGTTAGTTTTGTCTTGTTACGTTTCTCTGAATTTGATTTAAATATTTGTCTAGTTTGAAGTAGCATTCATTTAAGGTTGAAACAATTGCAACATACAAAAATTCAATAGCACGATCATTGTGTCTGGGTGACGCAGAATATTGGAGACGCCAAACTCGGAACTAATGGAATCGATTAAATCTACATAATGTTGCGAAGTAACACATGGGGGTTTTCCCCTTATAAAATTCAGTTAGCCCGAATACCTGACTCTCAAGAATATGATAGCACCTTCGTAACTTTTCAGTCCCTAACCAGATTAGAATGTAACATAAGATTCTTCCAAAGTTGTTAAAATGGAAAAAGTATGGAATATGCAATAAATTTTATAGAAATATTTATATATGTACGTGACGAATTTCACTTGTGAGAATGCTCAATTTCAAATAATTCACTTTTAGTGAACATTGTCGAATATTCTGATGTTGCCTAGATGATGTTTTTGATGCAATAAACTTTCGACGCACCGCAGGAGTTCTCGTAGCTCTAATAAACGTTCAAGCTTTGTTCTTGTCGATATTACGGTTTAAGCTAAGCCCTCTAAGGTAAGCTAGTTGGCAGGATTATGAAACTTTTAATTGAAATTCCAAACACTGGAAACAAGGCGATATTATCAAACAGTTAATGGATTTCACTATCTTTACAAGTATATCTTTCATTGAAATTACAATTTGAATTTCTCACTTAGACACGTGCATGTGGCCTATGAATTTTCTGTTTGCGAGACAATTTTTGGCCCTGATAACCAATTAATTACGTGTATCAAGTGGATATTTCAAGGAATATCTTAAGTTTTTACGCGTTTTTACAGTGCGTCCTACAGAAAAGGTTGTTCGAAATTTGGGGGGATTTTTGATCAGTTTTTACAAAAAATCAGCAATAAAAAGCATATTTTTCTAGGCTTTCTAGGTGATTAGAAAAGGACTAAAATCCAAAAATTGCCACAGTTGAAAAACCTGCTACTCTCACACCCAGGTAAAATGACCACGTACCATTTTGACGGTTCATGTAACCAATTCATTGTGCAATCAATTAAATGTTTTATCCTGGAGATTCCAATGATTATTTTAAATGCGGCATGTAAACCTGTATTTGTCTTTGTTGTATCATTGCACATTTAATCAGCTTTATCGATAACGACGCACCACTAGTCACGCATTTATAGTGTTAACCCAACCCATGATTGTTTCTATATTTTAAATATTTACATACGATACAAAGCGGGAGTTTTACAGGGTGATCAGAAATTTTGTTCTCCTGAAAAGTGAATCATTTTCGTTCTATTTCACCAAACGAAAACATGCCATCTATATAAAGCATAAAGCATCACGCCTGAAGACGGCGGCAACTAGCGAAGGAGAAACGTTAGATATCAATTTGATGCAGCCACTCATCGTTTGCGGTTAATTGCGTATTTACATACCGGGTGGTCCGAAACATCAGTTTAAATGCATATTTAAACTGATTCAACAGCCTGTAACCACTAGGTGTTGAAATATGGAATTTTATTTGGGTTTTTCTCTCCAACTTTTGCAGTTTTTGAGAAATTTGGCTCAAATTCGGAAGGTAAGCAGTAACTCTAGTGACACACTTATTAGTGACACAGAATTTTGAGGCATCGCTGCCAGACTTGCTCATTTTGCCAATTACTCAAAAGCTGTGGCAGATACGAAAAAAATGCAAGGGATCAAGAACGCTCGTTTTTACATCATTCTAGACAGAAATAAATTACCTTTTTAGAAAGTGAACCATGGATGGGGAAATGTAGGCAGTTTTCTCAAAAAATGCTTGAATTCAAGAAGTTTTAGATTTGCCTGGTTTTTGTTTGAGTTACAAAATCCACTTGAACATGACGCTGCTTTTTTCGAGGTTTCTCAAGAACCATTTGAGCCACAGAATTCGTTTTGGCATCGTTGAATAGAAAATTGAAAACTCGCTTCAGTCGTAACAACGTGGCTGAGGAAATTCGAGTAGTTTTGACCCAGAAAGCGAAATTTGAACATCAGACACTTCGGTGCAAGATTATGTCAAAATTCCATGTTTTTCGTCCCGTTTTTGCTCATTTCTCGGAAGCAAAATGAGCAAGAACGCTTATTTGTATATCATTCTAGGCAGAAATAAATGGCCTATTTAGAAAGTGAACCATCGAGAAGGAAACGTTTGGTAGTTTTTTCAAAAAATGCTTGAATTCAAGAAGTTTTAGATTTGCATGTTTTTTTTGAGTTGCAAAATCCACTTGAACATGACGCTGCTTTTTCGAAGTTTCTCAAGAACCATTCGAGCCAGAGATTTCGTTTCGGTATCGTTGAATAGATAATTGAAAACTCGCTTCAGTCGTAACAACGTGAGTGGGGAAATTCGAGTAGTTTTGACTCAGAAAGGGATATTTGAATTTCAGACACTTCGGTGCAAGATTATGCCAAAATTCCATGTTTTCCGTCCCGTTTTTGCTCATTTCTCGGAGCCAAAATGAGCAAGAGCGCTCATTTGTACATCATTCTAGGCAGAAATAAATGGCCTTTTTATAAAGTGAACCATCGATAAGGAAATGTTGGCAGTTGTCTCAAAAAATGCTTGAATTCAAGAAGTTTTAGATTTGCATGTTTTTTTTTGAGTTGCAAAATCCACTTGAACATGACGCTGATTTTTTGTAAGTTTCTCAAGAACCATTCGAGCCACAGAATTCGTCTTGGCATCGTTGGATAGAGAATTGAAAACTCGATTCAGTCGTAACAACGTGAGTGAGGAAATTCGAGTAGTTTTGACCCAGAAAGCGAAATTTGA